TCTGATTTGTTTTCCTTTCCTACGAGCTTGTCGAGTTGAGTATGATAATCGTCTGTGTCCAATTTCGGCGCGTTTTTGGCCAGAACGGTGTGAATGAATGGTCGAGTTGGCTGGAGTGTTGTGATGCATGCATACTTGTCAATTTCCCATTCTTCTCCTTCTTTTGCAATATATATTAGGAAGTCGTCTGACCGACCATGTGCCCGCCCCCAACCTCTGAATTTCGACCAATGCATGGATGACGAGCTTTAGAGGAAATACGTTTTTTGGTCTGTTTGAAAAGGCAATCAGAATGATCGATCGACCGTTGGTTGCGCGATCTTTGCCGACTATACGCCCATGTAACAACATATCGGTGTTTCGAAGGGAAAGTAGACGGGCATGTTAGATGTAGAAATGTATTCCCTTAGGCACACCCGACCGAACCCATTCTCGGAGAATAACCCACAGGCCTTGTGCACACACGTGTAAGCTCGACTCCGATGGCCGCCGCTTACACGCGTGTCTGCAAAACCTGCCTGCGACCCCCCTCCCGAATGACAGGGGATCTGCTAGACCTACAGTATAAATGTTGAAACTCCTTTCCATATTACTGATCGCGAGTGTTTGAGAGACCAGGAATTCTGAAAATATTGGGAGCGCACACACTCCTCTACACGCCCTAGAGCCAAACTCCCGGAATTCCCCTATCGAACAGGGCGCGAGCGCGTTTGTCAGTGGGACATCGGGCGAGCCTTAAATGACATTCCCTACCTGCGCTTGCCATCTTGCATAGATACCCCTAGAGCTTGCCATAGAAGATCTCAATTCCGACCTGAGACTCCGCCCCCATTTTCCTAAAATCCTTGGCACACCCCTTTTCGCACTTCCGGGCCCCCATCCCACTCCGATCAGGAAGTCGCACAGGGCGTGAGGTTGGGCGTCACATAGAGACATTCGGACCCGCCTTCGCACCCAGGGATGCCCGTTGCCACCGCCTGGCAGAGCATCCCCGCCCCCGCGCCCGGCCGACCTGACCCTCGCTGGGGTGGTTGTGACCCCGGGCGGGGAGCCCGACTGGGGCCTTTTTCTGCAACAAGCAGAAAATGSSMGGGGSMGSGGGGSGGRGGCGSCCMCCCCYTKTTTTTTTTTGKTTATTTTTGTTGGGTTTTTTTTTTTTTGGGTTTTTTTTTTTTTTTTTTGGGGGGGGGGGTTCAGGAGCCGGGGTCGGGGGTGCCCACCCCCGGACCCCCGCACCCATGCTGGGGCCCCGCGGGCGGGGATAAACAACCCTGCCTGCTACAGCGGGTGGGCGATACGGGCCAGGGGTCAACTTCTAGCATAGGACATTGCTTCTTCCATGGGCCAGTTGCTTTGCCTCCCCTCCGGTCCCCTCCCCCTACGAACATCAGCAGTCTCTGCTCAATGCTACTCGGGGGGTCACCCGTCATGTCAGCTGTGAGTTTCTAATGTGCAAAAAAGAAACAAATGCCAGCAAAGAAAATAGCTGTTGAGTTCGAATATGAAACGAAAGTAGGCCGGTTGTCATAATTGCATGGGCCGGCCGTTGTCTGTGGTGTAATGCACAAAAAAAAAAGCATGCTCCACCAGGCGCCGCTTTGGAATATGCAATGAAAGTGCCGGTCTCAGGCCATTTGTCACAATTGCATGGAGCGGCAGTGGTGTCAGACCTGGAAGGAAAAAATAAACAAAGGTGGTGTCAGACATGGAAAGGAAAAAAAACAACAAAGGGCCTCGCCACACCGATGTTTATATGTCAGGAACTTCTCTACATTCCCTCTTTCGACAAAAGAACCCTCTTTGCCACACATCATGTTGAAGCGGAGAACTCACTAGTCCTATGCGAGGGAGGGGGCTGAGATCTTGATCAGCCGCTAGCAGCGATACTGGAGATCAGGGTGTGCTGTGTGAGCAGACCCTCACCAGTGTAGAGCAGCCCCCTGATCAGGGTGGTCTTCAACCCGTGAAGAGGATTAGCCACCTTGCAGCTGAAAACTCATCCTACCCCCGACTCGACCCGACCTTCAGCACCTTCGAAAAGTGGAGGGGGGAGGGAGGCAAAGCGTTCACTTGCTTCCTTCAATCCTCGAAAACCCGACAATCGCTCCCCAAACTGATCCTACCCCCACTGAAACCTGGCCTTCAACTCCGTCGGAACGTGGGGGGAGGGGGGGGATCATTCCCTTGGGTCCTCTATCCTCGGAAACCCGAGATGCGCCCCCAAAACTCATCCTACCCCCACCGAAACCTAGCCTTCAACTCCGTTGAAACGTGAGGGGGGGGAAGGGGGCAAATAGTTGCTTTCGTCTGTTCCAGCCGCCTGCGTCACTTGGCACAGTGGTAAACACGCTGCCCCGTACTGTCTTCGCTTGCCGCCTGCCCGGGTTCAAAAACCCGCCCGCCGCAAAATGCGTGATTGCCCTCACGCAGAATTTTTCCGCTGCCGACATCCGACGGCGCCGCCAGTGGGACTGGCAGATCTTAAAAACAAAGTGCTTTGGCCCTTTTGCACACGCATAAAAATGAAACGGTCTGCAACCGGTACTGCCGCCCGCAATGATGGCAGTCGGCCGTCTTTGCACCTACGAGATGCTGCAGCTCCGTAGCGCCCGTAATAATGGCGGGCGGATCTTCTACTGTACTTTCCCACAGGGGAAAGTACAGCGCCGTCCGCTACGAGACAGCGGGATCACCAGGGTGGGTGGTCGGAATCAAGGATCGATCCCGCTCTGGTACCAATGTGGCGGACCCAGCAGGTGTGGTACTCCGCCTGGGTTAGAGATGGAGATGGACGATGAGGGTGGTGCAAAATGACACAGCGCAGCTCCCACACAAGACACCAACGCACGTTCTCCAAACTTTGCGAAGGGATAATCGGTAGAAAGTGCCCACGCCTAAACCTTTTCCGTTTTGGGTGCCCGAAACTCGGCCGCTTGGTACTACAGGCCCACACGTAGCTCCAAGAACCCTAGCGGATCATGAATCTGGCGCATAACAGTGCCAGATTCATTTTGATGTAAAAGAGGCCGACGGTTGAAGTATCGAATGAGGCCCACGTACAGGATTTTGAAATGGAAGGGCCCTACCGGTTCATGAATCTGATGCAAAAAGAGCGCCAAATTCTTGAGCCGGTAAGAACAGGCCCAGGGAGCTGTGGCCACGGCGCGAAGGCGCCTTTCACCCAGGCTGAAGACGCCTTTCACCCAGGCTGAAGACGGTTTGGGCTGGTAGTACCAAACGACCGGCTTTCAGTCCCAAAACCGGAATGGTTTTGGCGTGGGCTCTTTCTACCAATCATCTCCTGTGCGAATATAGAATGATCCAAGTACAGACTCTGGCTGGGGTATACCGCAGCGGACTGACTGGACTGGACTGGACTGGACTGGCTGGTACCCACAGAGGTACCGTCCTGGACTGGACTACCCCAAATACAACACAGGCCTGTGACAGCAGGCCAAGGGCCTTGTCTCACAGGCCAACCATAGGTCCTCTACACAGGTGGTACGCCTAAGAGCTGTCCAATTACAACCCTGAATTCGGGTCCAGACGGAGAACAAATGGAAAACTTCAAAGAAAAGAATGAATGAGCTACAGTACTTCTTGGCTAGCGTGGCAGTGCCTTCTTGGCCATCACAAGACATTTGTGTCCATCAGTGAATTCACTTTTATTTGCCCCGTGCATGCCGATTCCAAACAAAATAGGTCAGCAGCATACCTGTACTTCTGTGGGGGCGGTCACTGACAGTCTGACACAGACGGCAAAAATAAGTGAAGCTCCTGATGCAACAAGTGGCAGTGTGGCACGGACACTGGCACCCACCTTCTTTTGCTCTGTGCTCAGTCTACAGTTCCGTTCTGCCACGCAGGAGCCACTTCCAAATGCAAAAGCTTTTATTTTTCTTTTTGTCTTTTTTTCTCTGTTTTGCAAAATCAAATCTGAGTCAAGATCAGGGACACATTTTAGGTCTCCAAGACGATGCAAAGATAAGATAGTCGTCAATGATCCCCACAAACATTAATGATAACAGTCAATTTGTGCCCAATGCCCATTTCAGTTTTGAGCTGTTTCCATTCCACAGTCAGCAATCCAACTTTTCCTCGTCACGGTCTCATTAGCTAAGGACCCGCCAAATGCACGTACCTTGGCGCCTTTGAGGTTAGGTAGACCTTAACACTATTGTCGTATGGAAGAAAAAAAATAACCAAGCCTCTGTGGGCCTCTGTGGGCCACTTGTCGACCTCTCGTCTCCCGGCCAGTTTCAGAACGTCTGTCGGCCCGATTGGTGGATGGCTTGTGAAACTGCACTATAGCAGTGGAGGATGAGAATCTCATGGAGTACTCACAGTAGTACTATCTTGAATATATCTGACCACAATTGAGATCCTACCGGGCAATTGTATCCAGAGATAAGCAAAAAGCCCTGTGGTCTGAGTATGCTGTGAAATGGGGGGGGGGGAATCAATTTCCTCACTGCAGTGGCGTGCTTCACGCGCCATCCGCTTCGGGTCGGAGTCACTGCCGGGCGTGTGGCTGAGTTCCTCTAGCGGTAGTGTACTTGAAGCCATGTCTACGGTCTTCCCCCGAACAAAACGCACGTGCGTTATTTGCGAATAGAACACATGGGGTGTGTTGTATGCATATACAACACATGTCCGTTATGCTACGAATATAGGGTATAAACTTCCAAAAATGCTCCTCCCCCCCCCCAAAAAAAAAAGAGAAGTATGTGCGCACGCACACACACACACACACACACACACACACACACACACACAGAGAGAGAGAGAGAGAGAGAGAGAGAGAGAGAGAGAGAGAGAGAGAGAGAGAGCTCCTGTCTTCCGGCACACAGGACCTTCAGGTAAGACACATAAAGAGATAGAGAGAGAGAGAGAGAGGGCGGAATACTGCAGGGCCTGCACCTGGAAAGCATGTACTCTATTTGAATAGAACACCCGTCTCTTCGAATAGAACAAACGTGCGTACTATTTGAACAGAACGTACATGCGTACTATTTCAACGTGTGTACTAATTGGATTTCTGGGGGCGACTATGAGAAATCGACTTTTTCAGGAAATGTTGAATAGTACATACGTGCTTAGGTGGGAGCATAGGCCCCGGACTGTGGTCTCCCCTTATGACAGCTATGTTTTTTGTCTCGAGAGCATGAAACGAGCCGCAAGAGCTGTAAGGTTTGTAGTTTCGGTAGTGCCGCCACTGCGGACGTTTCAAAATTCAAACCTCGCTGGGCTGGATTCAAATGTCTCAGCAGGAAGTTTTTTCTACTCCTGTTGTCACGAGACGTGGATCTTCCACCACGCTCAAGCGCCTCAAGGCTTCCCAGCCCCACTTTCCCCGGCTGCGTGGGCAATGGTTGACTTTGGCGAGTCGCCTGGGATATACCTTTTTCTCGTTTTGTGATTTCTTTTTTGGAACAAGGTGATGATGACTCTCAAGCCAAGCACTGCTGAGAAATACTGTTCCGTGTGAGCTTTCATTTTCCTTCTTCTTTTTGACCAATTGCAGAGAGAAATGTGTTGCTTCAGAAATCATGCCCTTATTCCATGTCATCCGCCAGTCTGAGGCGAAAGAACCGGGGGCACGTCCCACTTGCCTGAATTCTGCACCCTCGAGTTCAGAGACCAGTGGCCATACACACGATCTGAGTGTACAAGTACTGCTCAATTAAAAATAGAAATAAAACTTGCTCCCCCTGTCCGCCACAGAGCATGAAGCTGACCGGCATTGCCGGTCTGAAACAAGTCAAAAACGCCTCGAGTTAGGTCGTGCTAATTTTTCCCCAGGAACTTAACAGCATTTGGCCCGAAAGAGACGAGCCTGTTGTGACTCACACAGGGCCACGCTGTCCAAGCATATGACTGCTGGATAGAAGCGGACCTCAAACTTTAAGTGACTGCTACGAGCGAATGACATGGGGTATAAAAGCGAACGGAACTGCCTAGGTTGGGCATAGACTAGACAATCGTACTTGAATCACGCACACACTCGCAATCTGTGCTCTCGTTGCTTGCACACGAATAGCAGAGACGTTGAGGAGTGGGCTTTCAACGGAGGAGCTCCCAGGTGCGCCTCACGCCTGCCTTTGTGTCTTCCCAGGACCGAGTTTCTCTCCAATTCTCTGTGCACCGTCAAGCTTGTTGAGGGGGAGTGGAGGCAGAGGTCGAGGGCAATGGCGCGTCAGGTGGTTCTTGCGGCCGTTCTGCTGATGATTGCTGCTGCAGTTCAGGCAAACGCGCAGACTCCGACTGAGGTGACTATCGGTTATGTCACCTATGCAGGCAACGGCTGCAATTACGAGAACACCAACTGGGTGCTGTCGAACGACTACAAGACTGTCACCTTCATGTTCGGCGGGATGGTTGCGACCACGGACGGGTCGCTYGCCGACAAGAGGAAGTCTTGCCAGATGTCGTTCTCCATGAGCTACCCGGATGGCTGGAGCGTCTCCATTGGTCAGGCCACGGGCCGCGGGTTCGCTGACATCGCCGAGAACTCCGACGGCATCTACGAGACGCACTACTACTTCTCCGGACAAACGGGGACGGCGATGGTGGAGCGCAAAATCCAAGGCCCAAAGGTTGGCAGCTTCGAGTTCACGGACGACTTCCTGACGCTTGTCTGGAGCGAGTGCAACAACGCGCCCAACCTGAACATCAAGACGGTGGTGAGAGTGGAGGGCCAGAAGGCTGTCATGGCGCTCGACTCCCAGGATACCAAGTTCCAGCTCATCTTCAATCTCCAATGGAGGCAGTGTCCGCAAAATTGAGACCCTCGTTCACCATCTCGCACGGAGGGTGGCGGCCCTGGCGGGTGAGCGGGAGGAGGTAAAAGAGCGGACGGGTGGGAGAGGAGGGTAGCCGATTCGTCAGGGCTCACCCTCGGCGCAATCTGAGGGAAAGAGGCTACGGTCGATGCAGTGGGACTTTTGAGAAGATCACACCTACCGTTCCTCGGCACTCGTGTGAAGGGCGAGCATGGAGCTGGGGGGGGACAACCTGACGTAAAACCATTCTAAAAAGCAGTCGGGCCCCTCGTCATTACGTATCAAGCGATGAGAGTGGACAGGGCAGGCACTGCCCTGTTGTTCTGAAAGGGCCCAAATGGGTAGTTTCTTCAGGAGAATTGTAAGAACCAAAGGTAGGGAGTCTGAATCTGTCCGTGGGATTTACCACAGTCACGACAAATCCATCTGTCTTAATGGCTCATCCTGACAGGGGGTGACCTGTCCGTGGCGCACCCTGACACAACGATTTGACAGTTAATACGTCCTCTAGAATGGCTCATCCAGATTTGTTTTGGGGCTGGCGATGATGGCGATCATATCACGCCTTCCATCTGATTAGTGGTATCTTACATAAGATAATGAAGAATTCTTAATGGCAGGCTTACCGTCTGTTCCATTTGTCAATGAGTATGCTCAATGACGTACTGAATGAATGTGTCATACAAATTTGAGCCTTGGTGTGTTGTACATTTCTATAAGAAGCATCATCCCGACTGATACATGGCCTTTTGTCGTTTTTTTATTTTGGATGCAAGGCGGACTGGTGCTATCTGGCTTTCAATGTGCTGTTGCAATTTGGATTGCTGTCGTTTGGATCTCGCCAGTTGTCCTTGCAAGGTGGCTCTCTATTGATAAAGAAAATCACACGATGTCACTGCTAGCATCTTCCCCCGAATAGAACGCACTGTAATTACTGCTGTGTTTGGGACAACTTTCCGTCTATATACAGTGATAATGGCAGTGCGTTCTGCTCGGGTGAAGATGGGAGCATCTTCCTTAAAACACAAGGGCAACGTCATCATGGAAGTACTGATCCGACCGGAAACATAGCCTATATACATTCATCATGATCAGGCGGGGGAAGGAGGGGTATGGCAGCCGCCTAGATCGTGCAATTTCGTCTGTTTTTTTTTTCCCCTTTTTTTCACTTCTTTTTTTTTTTTAAGGTGACGGCCTTGAGATCTCATCATTGAACTGAACGGGCCCAGTTAATTCACACTAAACAATTGTTTTATCCGTTCCTCTGACTGCATCTGGTTTCGAAATTGGGTCTGCATTTCAGCAATTCATATGGGCGTGTGTACTAGCTGGGCTAGGCCCGTTGGTAAGCGTGCAATTTTCGAGCAATCATTGGTGGTATTTTTTACCTTTTTCTATTAGGGCCGTCTGATTCTGTCAAAACCAAAAAAAAAATCTGACGTGTCCATTCTGTGGCCGCGTGGACAACACACGTCCACACGGCCACGTGGACATATACTGTGGCAGCTTAGCCGTGTGATGAGACTGCCACGTGGATATACACAGGTGGAGATCTGTTTTGGTGGCCACATGGACAAACGGTGTGGCCACGCGAAGGTCTGTATAAATTGCGAAATCTCTGTGTCTGCCACCCATCCCCCGAATAGAACGCATCATCTCATTGTGACTGTACAATTTCAACAGACTACCGTCTTTCCCCGAACACAACGCGCCCTCATTTTGGCTGCACCGGACTGGAAAGATAGCTTGTATACATTCAGACCTAGGGTTCGTTAAATTCGGGGAAAGACGGCAGTCTAGGGTACAATACCATACAAAATAGATAAACTATGCTAGACTAGTAGTGCGAGGAATGAGCCCTCACGGGGCCCTTATCAGACATGCAAGTGTTCTAAGCTGCGGCCCCCAGAGAGCCTCATGCCCGCCCTATTTTGGAGGTTTCTTCCTTATGTCGGTTATCAGACAGTTGCAGCACGCCAGTCGGTTACAGAGCAACGCGAGTCAGCTGTTAGCGTAGGACAGAGCTTCTTCCATGGGCCAGTTGCTTTGCCTCCCCTCCGGTCCCCTCCCCCTACGAACATCAGCAGTCTCTGCTCAATGCTGCTCGGGGGGTCACCCATCATGTCAGCTGTGAGTTTCTAATGTGCAAAAGAAAACAAATGCCAGCAAAGAAAATAGCTGCCGAGTAGGAATATGAAACGAAAGTAGGCCTGTTGTCATAATTGCATGGGCCGGCCGTTGTCTGTGGTGTCACGGGGAATTAAAGGATTATCCCAAAACAAAGAGATAATTGGTAGAAAGAGCCCACGCCAGAACCTTTTCGGTTTTGGCCGCCCGAAGTTTGGCCATTTGGTACTACCGGCCCAAACAACTTTCCCTTGGGTGAAAGCGCCTTCGCGCTGTGGCCACATCTCCCTGGGCCTGTGTTTACCGGTTCAAGAATTTGGCCCTGTTTCTGCGCCAGATTCATGAACCGGTAGGGCCCTTCTTTTTCAAAATCGCGTACGTGGGCCTCATTCTATACTTCAGCGTTACCACCGCAGGCCTCTTTTGCATAAAAATGAATCTGGCGCTGTTATGCGCCAGATTCATGATCCGGTAGGGCATTTGGAGAGACGCGTGGGCCTGTAGTACCCCACATGCAAGTCATTGGGCCCGTAGTACCAAACGGCTAAACTTTGGGCGCCCAAAACCGAAAAGGTGTTGGGGTGGGCGCCTTCTACCGATTATCCCAAAAACAAAGGCCCGACGGATCCTTGTCAGTAGGGGCAACTGCGTTGATGTCAGCTTTGAGTTTCTAATGCACCCAAAAAAAAACATGCTCCAGCAAAGAAAACAGGCGCTTTGGAATATGCAATGAAAGTACCGGTCTCAGGGCATACTCACACAGGGGCCTATAATCCCTAAATCCCAAAAAAAAGGGGAAAAGGCCAGTCACACGGATCTACCAAATTCCCAAATGTACTATTCCTGTGCCCATTTGTCAGCGGCCTGGGAAGCCGCAGGGCAAGGGATTGGTGACCGCAAATGCCCTTTTTCTTTTTTTGCATTTTCTTCAAAAATTAGCAAACATTCGTTCACAAAAGTTCTTGCACAAATCGTGGATGGAGCTGTGTGACCAGCCAAGTACCAAATCCCCATTTCTCCAGACAGCGGCGACCTTGTCCCATCTGAAAATGTACAGCAGTGTGACGTGAACCATGGGCAAGACCTCAAATCGGCCCTTGCCAATTGCATGCGGATTTGGGGTCGCCGTGTGAGTATGCCCTCAGGCCATTTGTCACAATTGCATGGAGCAGCGGTGGTGTCAGACCTGGAAGGGAAAAATAAACAAAGGTGGTGTCAGACATGGAAGGGAAAACAAAAAACAAAAGGCCTCACCACACCAATGTTTATATGTCAGGAACTTCTCGACATTCCCGCTTTCGACACAAAAAAACCCTCTTCGCCACACATCATGTCGAAGTGGAGAACTCATAAGTCCTACGCACAAAAGAGACAAACTGGGGTGAAGAACTGGACATCCTTTTGGAGTGGAGAACTCATAAGTCCTACGCACAAAAGAGACAAACTGGGGTGGAGAAGTCAATCATTGGTCCATTCTCCTTTTCGTCCTACGCACA